CTTCTTCTTCTTCTTTCTTTCCTTTTATATTTTCTTTCCCTTTCCCTTTCCCTTCTCTCTCTCTCTCTCTCTATTTATTTGTTGGCGGGGGGGGGGGGGGGAGGAGGCAAAAGCCCTTTGCCCCCGTTTCCCTCTTTTCTTCTTCTCCCTCTTCTTTTCCCTTTTATCTTCTCTTTCCCTTCCCCTTTCCCTTCTCTCTCTCTCTGATTTATTTTTTGGCGGGGGGGGCAAGAGTCCTTCGCCCCCCCCCCCCCCCGTTTCCCTCTTTTCTTCTTATTCTTCTTTCTTTCCTTTTATCTTCCCTTTTCCCTTTCCTCTTTTTTCCTTCTCTCTGTCTCCCCCTCCAAAGAGACCACTCTGTAATCAAGACCATTCCATTTTATTTAATTACATTTTCGATATACTTAAATTGGCAACTATTACCTTCTGTCCGAGATCCTCATTTTAAACGACTGATGCGAAAGACTAGTCGACGCACCCTTTCGAGAAAAGCCCCCCCGCTTTCATCGAAAGGGTGTGTTAAAACGGTACTCGCGCTCAACGCACCCTTTCGAGAAAAGGCCCCCTCTTTTTATCGAATGGGTGCGTTGAGCACACCACACCGCGCCGCTCCGCACCGCACCCTTTCGATGAAAGCCCATTTCCCAGCATGGGTCACAAAACAAACACATTCTATCTCTAACACTTCTCAACATAGCATTTGGGTATAGCATATACTCTATCTACACTGTGTGCGTGTAAAGCATTGCAGTGGATGGGTCAAGCTTTGGGGGAGAGAGGATTAAGAACTCTGATAAGAAGTTGTGTTCACATTGAACGCACTGCCATATCCTAATAACACACTAGTATTGTACACATGGTGCGTCCACACTCACTCATACCATAATACTGAGAGTTAAAGATAATCTGGACTTGACCACTCATTTCGCTACTAAAACTGTATCTAACCAAACTAGAATATATAACAACGTGCTTTGGCATAAGCATAGTAAAGGGCACATGTCCTAATTGGGCTAAGAATATTATATATAACATGAATATCGAGCAAAAGACAAATATACTGACAGTAATAAAGTATATTCTCTTCTCAAAACTTACTTAAAATGTTGTCTAAATCAAACAACATAATCATCAATCTCACACTCTCGTAATACTTTCCTATCATTTCTAACAAGTGATTACTATGTTCATCAATGACATTATCTCTCCCCACATGGCATCTCTTCCCACATGGACATTTCTTATATTTCCTCTCATAGTCCCATGTCATATAATCCAACAAGTCATTGGCAAAGATCATTAATATCTCTTTTTACACAGTAATACAAGATATGTGAATAGTAAAGCTAATAGTTTAGAAATACACATATTATGAACAACAAGAATATAACACAATTGAATAATATAAGATTCTTTCTTACCTATTAAAGGAAGACAAAATAAGAAAGGTGTTGACTGAGATGCGTGGCAAAAACAAAGTGAGAAGCCACTCCTGGTATCCCCTCCCAGCTGGTGTTTAGGTAGTTGTGGGTGAGGCCACTCTTTGCAGGAGGGGTACCTAATTAACTAAGAGGAGGGACTATATGGGGGCTAGAAAATACTTGTGTCATAATACATAGTCAAAGATATACAAAAAAATAGGGGGGGGGGGGTATTCTGTGGCTCCACACCATGATGGTTGAATGAATCCCCAAGTTAATAGTTTCATAGATCAATGTGAGGCTATCATAAAGTGATCAGACTCAAAGAAATGAATTTGAATGGGCTAAAAGCAAACATTACAAACGCAAGAAACATCTATGATTAAAAGTCAATAAGAATGATCAAAGTCCAGTGGAATTGGCTGTATGAAATATAATAATTGCTTGTTCTTTTAGGAATGCAGACCCTCTCATTTGCTTTACAGATATATATTGTCATCTTGACATTTACTTAGTTGTTAGCTGTTGTAATTTTAATGTGTGGGCTACAATTCAATATTTGCTCTCGGTCTCGTCAAAGATATAGAGTGACACATGTTCACCTCAGCCACATCCAGAAGAATGACATCCCCCCCCCCCCCAAAAAAAAAACATTACTCCAGAATACTAGGTCTAGAGTAAGTATGGAGTTGGAGGCAGTTTGGCGGAGTGACAGAGGTATCTGTTGTAAGAGTGGAGCAGGGCTCCCACCTAGCCGAGTTGGAGCCTTGAGTTGTGGCGAGCTGGCTCGAGCTTATGGCAAGAGCCGTTTTATCATTAAAACCTATTTCTTGATATCAAGAATTCAGTTCTTGATATCACGAAATCAAATTCTTGATATCACGAAATCAAATTCTTGATATCACGAATTCAATTCTTGATATCAAGAATTAACATTGCTTTTAACAACGTAAAAAATATTTTTTGATATCAAGAATTGAAATTCTTGATATCAATAATTATTAACCGTATCAGACATCTGAGCAGGGCAATTTTAAATGTTATTGCCCTCAAGGTTTGATGGATAAGTCAACAAAATTACAATAAGTTAGTCCGCTCAGAAAAGTCAATGGGATTTTGTGTGTAATTTGGCGGGCAATATAGGTTATACAGTAAACCAATGCGCAAATATTTTAGCCCGCTCAGAAGAGTCAATGGGATTTGTGTGTATTTGGCGGGCAATATAGGTTATAGTAAACCAATGGACAAATATTTTAGCCCGCTCAGAAAAGTCAATGGCAAAATGCGTGTTAAACTAGTGAGCAATAATATAGTGCCAGTTGTAATTTACATCGCGCATCAGCTATTGTAATTTACATCGCGCATCGTGTATAAGAAAATGCGCGCACTTTGCGCGAACTCTATTGTGACGTAACAATCACACCCTAGGCAAACTGTTTGCAGTGTATCGAAAATCTGTCAAACACTGGATGAACAGTGCTAGTTTGACAATGTTTTTGCAACTTCTAATGCTAGGAAACCCTGTGTAGCCTACATAATTTAAGAGTATAAGGATAGTAAGAGTTTCTTGTTTGCTCTAGATGTCTGATGTGGTTAATAATAGTAACATTGACTGCCTAATTCAGGGCAATACGACTTGTCATATATCACCCTCACCTTCGGTTCGGTCGATATATGTCGTATTGCCCAGAAGGCAGTCAATATTACTTAAATATGTTTTAATGATAAACCGGCTTGCCATAAGCTCGAGGCTCCAACTCGGTTAGGTGGGAGCCCTGCTGTTTAGGACTTTTTGTTTTAGGTAGATGGTTAACACTAACAGACAAAATAGAACCATAAACTGTCTCTATATTACTTCTTATGACAAGCTATGTCACCATTTCTATAGAAGGTGTTATTTATCATCAACAAGAATTACTAACGCTCATATAAAGCACAGAGACCACATTTTTCTGTGTTCAAAATCATGTTGTACGTACCTGTGTTTCCGCCTGGTGTGAAGTCACCCGTAATGTGTTTCCGAGCATACGGTAAGCCATAGAGAGGGGAGTTCATATGCCATGTCTTGCCGTGATCTAGATATTAAGAGGGGAAGGAAGGAAGTTTATCACATATAGTATCATATTTTCTATAGTACATTTTGTTTCTACTGTTTATGTTTTGCAACAGAAATGAAAGACATGTAAACTTACAAACAATGTAGAGGTGGATTTCTAAAGGGACAGACATCACATTACATACTCGTAGTTTGGTTTAATTTTTAATTTACCTAGTAGTTTCTGTCCAGTTTGGTACTTCTGGTTATAGCATTGTAAATTACAGGTTGGTAACTAAGTTATTAAACTAACCTGTTATTGCACTCAACTCTATAGCTTCAGCATTTCTTGATATATTGATTATTTGATTATGCATTCATAATTATCAAGATTCACTGAAACAAATCCCGTGCAGGAAGTGCATGGGAAAAATATGAATCCATAAAAAAGTTTAAAGGGAAATCCAACAAGTTGCCTGGTGAAGGTTTTAATCTCGAATTGGCAGTTTGGTCAGTAGACTGTGACTTGACTTAGACGGGGATAACTAACCCTTTGTCGAACAACAACAAAATATAAACAAAATTATCAATTTCCATTTTCCTCACAAGTTCCTTCTACTTTGGGGCTCTACTCGAAATATATCATGGGCAGCATATTTTTATAGGTCCTCTAAAGAGAAAAGACCCTCCAATTCAAATTCATACATTTTTGAAAAATTGAAATTTTAGTTGGATTGCCCTTTAGTCACATTTATTTGTTAGCTTTTCATGCATTCTATTCTTTATCACATTTAAAATAAATCTTGAAAACACCAGAATATCAATAATTACCGTCGCTGTATATGCACTGCATTTGGTAAAAGGCAACATCAACAGATGCCCGCAACCAATCAATCTCCCTTTGTTTGGCTCCAGTTCTTTCTGGATCCCAAAGCCTGGACCAGGAGCCCACGTTATCCCCTCCAATGCAGAATTTGTTTCTTTGACGTTGATTGCAGGGGTCCACGTATATCCCCAGTCACGGCTTATCTTGAAATAGACACCCTTCTCTCTGTACGGTGAACGTGCAGGTCCCCGGTGTGTGCTGCAATATCCAAAGAATACATACGTGGTGTTGGTAATTTTGTCGATTATCACAGAGCCGAGGTTAAGCCCGTCTTCGACGTCATAGTCATCCTCGATTATCCTAGTCACATCCAGTGCAATCCGCCATCTGTGGATCGCCGGAGCGTGATGAATTTTGCGGACTTGTCATTGCTGGTGTTCTTGCGGGGGGGCGGAGAAGGCCAATAGGTCCCCCGTCGGGAGCTTGACGAGGATCGGGGTTCGATACGTGTGTACTTCTCCCTGCTTCTGGACACCCATAGTTCTTGTTTGTGGGTGATGACGGGAGATAGGGTGTCGCAGGAAGGGAAGAAAACACAGAGAAATGATAACAAGTATCCCACCAATGAAGTCGGAAGGCTTCATCCTTGCTTCAAGGCTAGGCTTTAGTGTGGAGGGTCTACGATATTGTTCAAGAAGTCAGCAACAGGGATAATTTGTTCTTGTAAGCACTATGTGATGCATTAAGTCAGCTTCTGAAATTAGAAGAAACAAAGACGTGAACGCAACAAGGTCTGAACGCAACCATTTCACTATCATGTCTCTTATCCATTATATTTGATATTTTGGCAACTTCATCCTATCACGGTCTCTTACAACCAGTGAGGTAATGGTGAGTGAGATGAGGAGGGCTGCTAGGGCATCTGGTAATATAAAAGGAAAAAAAAGACCCACTTCATGGCATGGACGTAGAATTAACCCCCCCCCCCCCCTTATTATAATAATAGCTCACATTTATAATGCGATTAATACTGTTTCTAGGCGCAGTACATATTATTACACGTCATCGGATTCAGGCTTACCAGCACACAATGTATGCACATTCTCCACTTCCTGGGGAGCATTCCAGCCAGTCACCATTTATTTCACAAGTGCCACTTGCTCATCAATCCAACCACATATAACGTTCTCATCCTACCTAGTACCCATTTAAATATAGGTGGAGAGTGGAAAATGAAGATTAACGTATTGCCAACATTATATTAGTGCTGCGGCGGGACTCAAACTAGTACCTTGCAATCTGCAGTGGGCCAACTTATCCACTAGATCTAGAACCACAACACCTCTATCATCTTATAGTTTGAATATACCATTGATGATATCATGGTGCAAAAGTTTCTCAGAGTGACGATAGGCCGGTACATGTTATTGAGACTACCTGGTACAGTGGTAGTCAGTCGGAATTTTATTTTATTTTATTTATTTACCAACAGCAACACATATACTTTCATACAATGAATTTTGGAGTTCGGTTCAGCAGCCTATCCACGCTCTCAACACCAACACCAACACCGACCACCCTATTTGGTCTAGTTAATTAGTCATATCAGGGATATGAGAGTTTAGTACATTACACAGTACGTGCACGCACGCTTTGTAACTTAACTCCGGGAGTTAGTTGTAACCATATTCACCCGTGGTCTTAATTTCATAAAAAGGAAGAAACTGTCCTGCACACAAACCTTACCGTCGTTTCTCTGCCCTGGTTCCGGGTTCAGTGATGAGCTGTATCATTCGCCATTCTTTGTAGTCTACAACGGAGTTATACGAGTTGTACAACAGCACCGAACAACATAACGTGTGTTCAAGCGTCATGTTTGCTCACATGACGTGGTCACGCCACTTTTCCCGTTCCCAACTACTAGTCTGCAGACACAAACCTTTTTTTTAGTTTTACATATCCCGTAACATGGATTGCGACAGAACTATGAAAAAAAACGGTCTACTGCACTTCATAGGCCTTGTATTAGAGCTGCTCCTTATTTGGCACAGCCAGAGAATTATATCATGCCCAATTCAAGGCTTTGTTATAGAGTCTGTGCTTTGCAGACTATCAGCGAAGAGCTATTCTTATTTTGTTCAAGCCTGAATGAACACATAAAAACTCATTTACGCGCGGTGGGGCAGTGCAGCGAGACATATAGACCATATAAAAAAAGAGCTAAATGCAAAAGGGTCCGACATTTTACTCCAAAGTTCTCACTTCTTTATTCTATAAAACATTTTTCATCGATGGGAACGTCATCATAATCATGATTGTTTTTCTTGGTTCTTTTTTTTTAAATCCCCCTCCCCCTTCTCTCTCTCTGGATCAAAGTCCTGTTCAACAATGAAAATTCAGTACACGTGTAGGAATACGAATCTTGGAAATGTCATGCTGCATAGGCCTAATATTATTCGACCTTGTATTTTCTTGTACCCCCCCCCCCGGTTTCTCTCTCTCTCTCTCCGTGGACTTTGGTCTCTTTGGGGGATTTAGCTACATATGAACTTCTATATATCAACATAATACTTGGACCTGATACAATTTTCTTTTTTTCCTTCTGTTCCCGACTTTTCTCTTTCTCTCCCTACATAACTCTCTCTCTCTCTCTCATTCTCTGTTTGGTTTGATATGTTTTGGAAACCTCATGGTTTGGTGCGTATAAATAAACATACTAATGATAAAACCATGTCACTCTAGAATGCCATAAAAAATTAGTTTTCTTCTCAGAGACAAACAGTTGTCATTATTCCGGCAAACATCGTCAAAGATTTTAGGAAAAAATGATGTGATATTGCCACGTCATAGAAGCATTCTCTTTAGGCAAAACATAAACACATGTTTATAAAATTCTGATGTGAAATTGTATTCGTTGGGATTTTGGATCGTAACTTTGAATATTGCACACTTTAAACCTACGTGAGAATAATAAAGCAAACGTATCAATGTATAGGCCTATCCAGAATGAACCTTCCATACTCTGAAGGTAAAGTAGTCACCCTCACATATTAAAAAAACATGATAATTAGCTAAGTTTGAAAAAGGCTGTTGAGGATGTGATTTTATATGTTGTGATCTATAATTTTGTATATGACCATTTGTCTCCAACATTTATGCATTACAAAATAAGAATATGTATCTACCATATTACACTAGTGATATAACCTGTGTGATATTTAAGAGAAAAAATGAAAGAAAATGAATACATGTACTTAAATAATCCCTACCTTAAAGGTGAAGACCAGTTTTAAAAATGCCCCCCCCCCCCCCTCCCCCTCTCATAAAATTGAAAAGGAAGCTCTTAATACCAATCATGTGAAAGAATATGTTTGACTAATACGTGATGATACAAATTTTGCCGGGAAACTTTACTGATACATTCTGTAAATTTGGTAAATTATCATATCGATCCGGCCTGGATAGATATAAAAAATGCACTTCAACAGTGAACTTTTGGGCATATATTTCTAATTTTTTGCGAATTCAGGTTGAGGTATTGCCATCTTAACCTCTGAAGGCAATATTTAAACAAAATCGAATGGATATTTTGCACCCAAAACCGTTGAACCGCAATTTTACCACTACCGGTCTTTACCTTTAAGTGACATATAGCTGCACACCAAAACATTAAATTGGATTAATAAAACAAAATGTACGGTTTTTCTTCGGTTACACTTTTGAGAGAACAATAAAAATGCATTCAAGAGAAAATTTTCAATTAGAAATGATATACATGTATTAGTGATAATAATGATAATCATATTGTTATACAAAAGGATTCTCATTAGTCTAGTAACAAAACCTTTGAATTAAAATACACACTAAAAATACACTTTAGTTTTAAGCCCCAACTGTCCTACTTGTAGCTACTTTCTCCCTCTATATAGAAAACTTCCCTAATCAGTGCCTGTTGGTCCCCCGTGATCCTCTATTTCTTATGTTATTTGAGAGCTGAGTTGATGAGATAGCCACCTGCCAGTGACCGCGCTGTGTGGTCTAATTCCTCCTGGCCAAACTAGTGCAGATAAGCTTTAAAGTGTAACAATCACCAAGATACGTTTTGCTCTTGATGTAAGAGGTTCCATGTTTCTATACTGTTGTCTAAAAACTGCAAATATATCTCTTACTAAGAAATACTGTGCAGTTTAAATCACTCCCTGTGAACTGTAAAACATCTTGTTGAGTAGACTTCTGAACGCAATGTGCGCAATCAGAGCCCAAGTTGGACTTGGGTTCCGTGGGAGCCCTATATACACAGGCTTTTATGTTATAATCCTTTGTCTTCTTTATAGTCCTTAAAGATACTATGTCCCTTTTGCAGCCAACATCAAATTCTGTAGAACTTTGCAGGAATTATGATTATGTCATATTGTCATGTATGTCCTATCTGTGAAATTTAAACGTTAGCAGCGTCCTTATATTCAAATTATGCAAGAAAATCTGTTTACTTTCAGACTTCACTGTCAGACACTATTGAGTGACTGACTGGCTTTTTTTCTTCTTTGGTAATAACATCCATAAAATTAGCTGTAAAAGGGTACATAAGCATTTGTCTACATCAATAACCCACTTCTTGTAATGGCGAAAATTAAACTGATTGAATCTTTGCCCACAAAAAACGTACGACCATTCAATACAATGGTCTGAAAATCAGACTATTACTTACTGGCTCTATAGCTCTTAAGTTGATTCGACAACTAATAGTCGTTATTTTCCCACTTAAAGACATTTTCAGGCCCCACTATTTTTAGGGAAGTTCTAAATTAGAATTATTATTCAAATGCCGTTGGAATTTAACCTTTTCATTTTTTTTGGGCCTGCAAATGGGACATAGTACTTTTAACAGTTAACCTATAAATTGCAAGGTGAATTTTTAAAAGTTGATTTTATACATTCTACATACATATATATATATATACATATTATTTGTTCAGGTGCTTGGTACATAAAATCTGTCTCATATAGCTTCAATCTTTTTCAAATACAAGTATGTGTTATTCTTGGATCTTTTAGTGATAATAAAATAAAAGCCAAAAATGCTTTAATATCATGAGCCACATCTTTTTCCTTCTAATTTCTAGGAAAAAAAAGACATTTTGGACCACATTTCATGGGGTATTTGGGGTATAAAGTGCATATAATAGAACAAAGTTTTAAAGAATAAAGTGAAAGTCAGCTGCAAAGTTCTAGATACTGGAACACTTACATTTGATTTCTCATGAGAAGTGTCACGATTACAAAGCACAGGTTAAAAAAACAAAAATGCAGTGGAAACTTGTTATGAAGAGCTCAGATATAACGAGATACCTGATTCAAGATAGTTTTCTGGTCCATTCTGTTTTTTCACTGAAATATATCAAGATACTTGATACATTCATAGTAAGGTAATTTTCATGGATCCAATATCCTTGTTATAACAAGTTTCCACTGTAGATAAAATGCTGAAAGGCTTCATCGGGCTTCGCTTATAAGTATTAAGGCTCAAGAGCCCATTGCTATAAAGCTGGTCAAAGTGCAAGTTAAAGACTAGAGATTTAGTTGGATTCTCACATATGAAATAGAACTGATATTATCTTTCTCATACACCAATCCAATGTGATTTTCATCAATGTAAGTAAGACATGAATATGCACTACCCTTCTCATAAATATTCATGAGATTGGGATAGGTGTTCCCCGCGTCCAGGCTCCAATGAAGTGTGAGGTTGACCCGTGACCCAGCATTGAAAGGGTTACTGAAAAATAAGATTTGATTGTCGTTGAAGTTCAGGAGCGAGCCGCAGACGTTGGGGTCGATCAGCTCTTGCTTCATTCTCATCGAAGTCATGGGGAATGTCGACCCACCATCGAAGCTTAACGCCTGGATGCGGCAATTGCAGTGAAAGCTGTAGGTATTCCGCACGTTAGCCAGGATCGTCCCATTCTTCAACTCGACGATCTGGGTGAGCATTGAATGACAAGGTGGAAAAACACAAGATAAGAATAGAAAATCTAGAAAAGAATTCTTAGGTTGGCCGGAGACATGATGCTATGGATTCCTGGATTGAGTTTGATTAATGTGTACTGAAATGGAGTCGTAACTCAACTTCAAAAATATGCACTTTTTTGATTATCAGGTACATTTAGTTCCATTTTCACTTCTTTATTACTTGTAGTTGATAAAGAGAGAAAGTCCTGCCGTGTTTAAAGCATGGCATAACATGAACAGAGCAGTGATCAGATAACCATAGAAGTGAGTTACTAGAAATGGCATGGCCATGATTGATAACACACTCCTGCCAGCCAAACAATGATATGCCATGACAGCTACAACTGATTTTCTTATCTTAAATATGCACTCCAGTACGGCTTAACTTTAGAATACCCCACTGATAAGGTTTATGTACATGAATGTCCAGCACCTAGGGTTAGACATTAGGATAGTGTTAGGGTTAAATTATTACCTAAGAAACTCAATTGTTTAGATTTTAATAGAGCTTCATTGACCAGGCCTTGGACCTTGGTTAACCTACATGTATGAACATCTGGTCAATTTTTGTGATGGGGTATTCTAAAGTTGCTCCCAAAGTATTTTACCTGTACTTCACCCGGTACAAAGTCCCCGGTTTTCTTGGTCTCTGCAAATGGAAGGCCAGCCAGTCCCAAACTTAGATGCCATGTTATACCACCATCTGCAGTCAGAGAATAAACAGTCATTAATACTTAGAAGTTAGAATAGACTCACTCGATATTAACTTTTATTATCAATCAACAAATTTCAAAATGTATAATCTCATTTTCAAATTTTCACATTAGTCCACCTAATTAGTCCACCATTTTATCTGATGTTATTCCACACT